AACAAATACCTCGGCTTTAAGGTCGGAACGAATCCTGACAACACATCGTTTAACGGCCATCTGGAAGGTGAAGCTGATCACTCCTCGAATCTTTAACAAGGCCTCCTCACACAGGCTCCTCCGAGTCTAACGACAAACAGGAAGCAGGTGAAGGACATGAGCGGGCACGTAAACAGCTTACAAGCAAATGCTTCTTTAAAGCAAACTGAATCTTTATGAGCTTTTTTAAAAGCGTATATTAAATAACAAATGTAAACTACAACAGGCTTCAGAAGAATCCAGTTTATGTTTCTGTATTTTCCAGCTGCTGCAGTGCTGTGTGTCTCTGCAGCCCAGCAGAGGCTGTCTGTCTGCTGTAATAGAATCTGGCTATGTGCAGGCTTCCTGCAGAGCAACGTTCACGTTCAATCTCTGCGTCCTGCTGTTCAATGGCTGACATTTACAACCTGAAGCCTCTGCCTTCCCCTCAGATGCTCTGGCAGCRCTGTGATTATGACAGCAGCAGACACGTTGATCTAAAGGGAGATTTTTGCTCATCAACAGACACCCGGCGTGCGTCTGAGCGTGACAGGTTGGTGCCGACGTGTTGCGGAACGTCCCGGATGACCTGGATGCACCTCGGGAGCACTTACAGAGTCGTCCAGCCCGTCGATGTGCAGCACTACAGTTTTGGCCCGTTTGTTATTGGATCCCAGGAAGAAGTGGGCTTTGCGCCGGCAGGAGGCAGCGGCTGCCTCTGCCTGCTCCGCTTCTTCTTTGCCGGCTGACTGCAAAATCTCATAGATCTCAGAGGCCAGCAGCTTGGTCTCCCCGGGCGATGTGTTCCTGTAGGGTGAGATGAAAACAACAGAGGATGAGATAAAAACAAATGAGATAAAAACTAATACAGCTTATGTAAGAATAGATGGTTAACGCCCTCTTTACAGGAGCTCGGCGCTATTTGTTTAGTAATTATGCTGTACCTGAATGATATTAAATTAAAAACAACCAAACTCGGTGAGTTTATAAAGGGCTATAATGATCTGCTTTGACATTTCTGGTGAAAACTTAATGGAAAACCAAACAAATCCTAATTGTTTCTCTAAAGAAAAGGTGTAAAAATGCATTTAGGATCCTATTTTTTAGTCTCTGATGTATATTAATTTATAAAAACATCTGTTTTTCAAAGTCCCTTGTGCAACYATTTAGTCTAACCAAAGAYTAAAGCTCAAGTGAACTCATTTTATTATGTGCTTCAGTTTGATTACAGCCCTTACTGCAAAACAAGCCACAACRTTTCAAAGAGCAGCAGCGTCTCAGGAGGAAACCACAGGAGGTCAGAACAACAGTAATACAAGAAGRGATATTTTGTGAGAAATACAGAGAAAGCCCAGCTGCTTTACGGCTTTATCTGTCACCAAGTCATCAGTCCTTCTAAACTAACCACACAGAAACTGGAGTCTGGTACAGCACTGCACAACATCCCATCATCCCTCTGTGGCAGGCCATTAGTCTTGTAGCAAAGCAAATATTAGATTTAGGTCATTTGTCTGACTTCTGCTGCCGTTCTTCAGAGGTTTATATATATATATAGCATTACTATCCTCATGGTAGAGAGACAATCTCACACTGGTGATGTCATTGTTTATAAAAAGTATACAATAAAACTTAAATAAGTTATGTGCAATGCTTGTATAATTAATTAAACGTGTGTTAATATATGTCAACATCAGTTTAAATGAGAAACAGTAAAAATGCAGGTACATCATTTCAAGTCACTGCCACCCTTTCTGTGTTCAGCTTTAATCCCACTCAACCTGACAAACCAATAAAAAAAGCACATCATCCTGTCATGAAATATTACAGTCAAACAAACAAGGAAAACAAAAAGACAAATTTWAAAAAATCCCAGGTTAAGGTTTTATGAAAAGAAAATGCAATATAAGCACATGTTTCAGCAGAGACTTACTTCTGCATGACATTCTGCAAACTCAGCATCATGCCCAGCTCGCCCTTCAGCTTCTCCCTGTTGGCTCGACATTCTGCCAGGTAGCGCACGGCCTGCGAGGAAAAAGGGCAACAGTTATCTGTCTCAMGCTGGAAAACTCACAAAAGGTTTGTAACTTTTTAAAGCAGAAAATCCTTTTAAGAACACGCTCCCTGTGTGCACCAGCAAACACGTTACATAATCCCTGCAGAATACACTTTGTGCTTCTTACATAAAGCCATTTGAATGTGCACTCTTTGTAACAGGTCGTGTACTGAATGAGAGGATAATTGTGGAGGAAATACCAGAACTCTATATTGTATTTGCATCACAACAAACAGCAGATGCTCCCATTGAAAAAATACATGGCTGCTTTAAAGACAGAAATGACCTAAAATCTGCAAGAGAAACCAGCAAAGTCACAAAAAATGTATCTAAAGTTTAATCTAACAAGCTTTTTATACATATTTGTGCAAAAACTACACYGTTTCCTGTATGCACCAGGTACCCTTAGTGCCATATATTGAAATAAACAAACACAACTTACCAATAGTGCAGAGTAGACAACCTGTGGGTTCGGATGGTCAAAAAAAAGGATGAGACCAGGCAGACAACCCTGGTCTTCGACTATGGCTCTTCGGTTCAAGGGGTCTGCAGCGAGATCTCGCAGCTGGTTCACCACAGTCAGTGCATCCAGCTCCGCACTCATGGTGCTTCTAGAGTTAACGGCACGGGCATCAAACCAACCTATTCTCTTAGCTGGAAAGACAGAGATAGGGTAACATTAGGGAGCTTGCTTTATGAAACACACTGATGCAAGCAACTGTTACTTCATTAACAACAATCAGGGTATGTTAAAGGTCTAATTKTCAGAACTGTAACCAGATACACTTGGTTAAATGATTTGATCAGTCAAAGTCCTTCTGCTCTCCTTAAAATCAAAGTCATGCACTTTTATGGTAATTGATAAAGCTTTTACATTATGTTATTGTGTGTATAGATTTCATATTGTCATGTTTGTAAATGAGAAGTRGTKCTCAAACAGTTTACTAGATAAATAAAGGTTAAATAAATAAATAAAATATGTGTAAACAATGGTAATTTCACTTTGTAATCATTTCAAATCTGTAACTATACTGCTTTAAAATGTTTTTTAACAAAATAGTTTAGAAAAGTTCCAGTACCTGAATTAACACTGCATTTATAATTTAAAAAAATCAAATACACAATATGCATAAGTGTAATTACATACTGTAAAGAAAAGAAAGTTTATTCTTGCATCATCAAGAATCACACAAGTATTAAATTTAAACTTACTTTTTTAAGAGATTGTTGCATATTGCTTATAGAAACTGAATGCTTTTACACATCACAAGAGTTTATAATAGCAAGTACCATTTATTTTYCAGTTCCATTTCATTAAATTTATTGTCTCAAAACATCCTGAATTGTTGGAATTTCATCAGATGTCAGTAAACATGTGATGTTACACCATCTGACTAGTTAAATATTCATGATTATATTAACACACAATAAAACTGCAGCTGTCAAATAACAAAAAAAAAAAAAAGCTTGAATGGTAACCGTACTAGAAAAAACATACAGTTTACATCAGTACGCTACAGCTTTTCTACTCAATTGCAAGATACATACTTATTTGAGACAAAACACCCTTTCTGCGACCCTCAACCTAACCTCAAATCACGCCCTGAAGTACACAGCCGATTCCGTAGCTAGCTAGTTAGGCTAAAAAAAAATGTGCTAGCTTTACTTCAGCATACCTTTGAATCAGATTTCATGAAAACTCCCGACACAAATCCAGATCACTTCAGTCACAAATGATATAAAACGAAGCAGGAACAAGCTGCTATGTTCAGACACAATCTTAAACCGGCGAAATTAAACAATTTTCCTAGCGCTAGGCCTTTGCCCCTATTATCCCTTGCGATTCTTTAGCTAGCAGCTGTGCACTGTTTTGGGTTTTGTGGCACACATCGATGGGTGCAGTTGCTTTGTGATCAAGGACATTCCCGCAGTGAACCATATTCTTTGAAATTTAATCAGACACGTCTCCACCGGTGTGCGCCAGGATATATAACGAGCGTTCCCATTTTCCTAAGATTTGATTGGACATAGAAATTTGATTGATTGTTACATAAACAAATAAGMAAAAAGCTTTGTTCTACATATCAACAGTAATTGGTGAGTTGCAACATCAATCAAAACACACATCCAATAGTTTTGCTTTATGGGAACAACGCCCCACCTGTAWTTCCTATAATCCAATTGGCTCAAAAACATTCCTAAATTGTCCCCACGCTAGTTTGCGATTTACGTATGTTGTCGACTTGTCTGGAGAAGGAGGCTAAACTCTAGAAAAGGTTCAGTAAGTTTCAGTCTCAAAGTACAACCGAAGTTTGACTTTAAATATATAGTTAACACTGTTGATATGACTGGTAATAATTGAACGTGTTAAATGTAAATCTAAATAGAGCTGATGGTTTCCCGCTATCTCTGTTAGCATCGGTTAGCCTTGCTAGTTGCCCACTGACCGGCTAAAGTTATGAAAGTCGAGTTCAGTTCATGTTGAACCGAACTTCTTTTTAGTACGACACCAGCTGCTGACATCACTATGTTGATGAATATCGTGGCCTACTCTTTTTTTAAACGCTGTTGTACACCATCTGTTTGCTATGATACTCATAAAATAATAGGTTAAGTTTATTAAAATAACGACGTACGTACTTGATTTTTGGGGATATTTGCTGTTTCAAAGCAGCAAAGCTACAACATCTTAAAACAAATACAAAGTTTTGTTTCTGCATTAACTTGAGAAGCTGTAAAACACCACGAAATGGACGTTCGCTTTGCTTTGTGTTTGTTTTGTTAAAGTTGTGCCTTTCAGGGTGGWTTATTACGAATTGCATTTATAATTTTCTACATATAGTATTTATGTTAAAAACGTCTTTTATACATGAATATTTGTCAGCACAGACAAAGACAGAGAGATTATTGAGTAGATCATTTTTGCATTGATTTATTTCTGACTTTTGTCTTTTTTGTTTTATTTTGTTTTTCTTCTAGGTGTCATTTGGTAATCATGCTGAAATGTGTTTATGTTTTARTTGATCTTTATGAAACTCATGAACAGAAATGAATAAAGATCACTCATGGCTTGAGATGGACCTGGTACGTTGTAATCTGCAGTAGTATCTCTGATCAAAATATGGTAATTTTTTTATTTTATAATGTAATGATTTTTAAATTTATTTATTTTTATGTATTTTGCAGGCTTTTGGTTCATCAAAACCATACGGTTCCTCAAGAAGTATTGTTAGGAGAATAGCTGCCAATCTCCCCATCCAACCTTGCCCCAGGGTTCATTTTCAGGTGAGGCGAGAATACCTTTTGTTAAATTTGAAACAGAATTTGATATTTTTATAAGAACATCTACTTTCCTTGTTGATTTAAACCCTTATATATATATTTTTGTCTGTACTTATTTCCTCCAGTCATAATGTTGAATGGCACACACACACCCTCTTCAGCATTTGTTGACCTCTAYTTGTCTGTTTTCATTGTTAAACTATAAACAGATTGAATGAAGTCATGCCAGTATTTCTGTCGTTATAACAGAACACAGACTTTTAGCTGGAATTTTTGTTTCTCTTAAAAGGAACAACTCATATTTGATTAAGCTGAAACATGAATGTTTTTTTTTTTCAAACTTTTCTACCTTCAACACTGTGCTCTTTCTTGTCTTTTTCTTCCCTTTCCAGCTACCCTCCCTTCCTATGAGGAATGCAGTTTTTCTGCTTTAGGTCAGTTTTTTCAGCAACCTTGAACAACCTTAAGCTGATAAAGACCCCCCTTTCTTTCCTAACCTATCATTAACAATCTACAGATCCTCTTTATGCTTCTCTATAAGAGCTGTCCTGTTTTTTTAAAGCAATGAGTCTTTGTTTTTACTCTTTTTTTTCCCCCAAAATATATCAATGATTTATCACATTTGAAAGTTGTTTAAATTCTGTATTCAGTTAAAAATAACAAAGACAACATTGTGTGTTAAAACACTTATGTTTGAAAAAGGAAATACATAGTCTTGTTGAAAACTTGATAATGACACGTGCGTCATAATTAGTTTTTTCTTTTTCTTACCACTCTTGCAACAGAAGATTCTTCTGAATCGCAGCCATTTCATAGGATGCTGATTTAGTCATGTTAACTATGAAGCTGTATAATAATCTAAGATGTGAGAGGATCCACCTGGTTGTTTTATCTGTAGCATTTGTGATTCTGTAGCCTTTCAGTGGCATTACCATCATCAAATAAAATGAAAACACGTTTTTTGATTCATACTTTTACATTTAACATCCAATGTGATGTCTTTTTTCTGTTAATATGCTGATTTCAGTGTCTTTATTTAGTTTTGATAGTGTCATGGCTTTGTGGAAAATGTGTTTGAATCAAATATAAAGATGTACGCGTGGGCTCCACTCTTCTTTTGTTTTTCTTCTTTTCCAAATCTTAAACTCGAATTTTTCTTCTCTGGCAGCTTTTCCCGTACAACGAAGATACAGGTGTCCTAATTRGCACCAGGAAGCAGACCGGCCTGGTGGCCTCGCTTGCTGATATCGCTTGGATCGACAGGGAAGATGAAGACGACCACGAGGATGATGGAAGCCTTGTCAGATCTCGGTAACAGCAGCACAATGATCCAGAAAAAGATTTTCTAAATCAGAAGGTTTAAGAACTGATGCGCTCCTTTTGAAATGTGTGAAATAGTTGTATTCATGGCCTCATTGAAACAGGTCTGGGATCCCACCGGGGCTCATATTTCGAGCCCAAAGGCCTCGTCCTCGGAGAAAGTCCCTCAGTCGTCAGAGCTCACTCCCCAACCTGCTTGAAGGAGCTTCAGACCCACAGGGGGCGTCGGCCACAAACGATGAGGCAATCCAAAAGATCAGTGCTCTGGAGACTGAACTTGCTAAACTCCGAGCTCAGATAGCTCAGATTGTCCTGGTTCAGGAAAAAACTGCACAGTCTGGTACCAGATTTATTCCTCCTATCTGAGTTTTTTAGTTTCACTGCAATTCTTTAGTTTCTCCACTAGATGGCAGCAGAATCCTACATGCTGCTCTGCTTTTATCCTTTTTTTCCTTTTCTTTGTTTTGCTCCAGCTGCTGCTACAGGGGGACCTCCTCCTCCTCCCACTTCTGGTACTCTTCCTCCACCTCCTCCCCCTCCTCCTCCTCCTCCTCCTCCTCTACCACCWCCAGGAATAAAGCGGTCATTTTCAGCCCTCGATTTGATAAAAGAGCGCAGAGGAAGGAAGGCGAATTGTCCGACAGCTCCGGAGTCGAGGACGGCAGAAATCCCCAACATGCTTGAAATTTTAAAGGACATTAACAAAGTTAAGCTTCGATCTGTAAAAAGGTTCGTCTCRGCTCCAGTGATCCGTCAGTCACAGTAAACTGAGTGTTTGTCATCAGTCGTCAGTTCACTCTGACACCTTTAGTGCACAGGAGTTTGACTGAAACTTGGTACGTTTTCCCAGTCGTCCAGGGGAAGACCATGCCAAGGTGAAGCCACGTGAGCCAGCAGATGCTGCAGGTCTCATCGCTGAGGCCCTGAAACGCAAGTTCGCTCATCGCTATGGCAATGGACAGGAAGACGAGGATTTCAGACTTCCTGTCCCCGAGGTTAAACCGCAAACTGAAGCCCCTCTGGTGAGAAATGAGCTTTTGATTAATAACTTGAAACACCAGTTTTGATGAATTTGTGTTTTTTCATCCAGCTGTGTTTGTTAAATGTTGTCTTTCTGGATGTTTTCCACAGTTTGGGCAGCACATGTTGAAACAAACTGGAAAGAGAAAGTTTCTGTGAGACGAACCCGAGCTGCTGATCCAAACCTTCTGCGGACTCTTTAAAGATCCTTATTGATCTTTTCAGTATTTGTCCTGCTTTATTCTGGCCGCTCCAAACATCATGACATGGTCGTCCTGACCGTATTTTGCACTTTTGTAACAGCCTTAGGCTTTACGARCATAACTTTCTGTTGCAACCTTCAACACTATTAGATTTTATTTTCTCTTCAGTTAYTCATTAAATGTTAGTTTAATTTGTTGCACATGTGGGTGATCAGTTGTACGCCCTWATTTTGAAGGCTGTGGTTAAAAGCCAAAAAAAAAAAAAAACTCATAATGTGGAAGAAAGGAGCACTTTCTAACATGTTGAATTTCACACCATTCAATTTTAAGACTAGTTTATAATTTGAAGTTGGTTATTCATAATTTTGTCATTTCTCTTTTAACAGTGAATGTTTTAGATCTGTCAGGTACTAATTGAGAAGTTTTCAGTCGATTCCAGAGTCGCGTCTTGATCAAGGTTTGTTGCAGTCGCCACTCTAGGATGTTTTGCTGACTTAACAATTTATTTGTTTTAATTTTATTTGCCTTTTTAGGAGCCAAAGACATTCCACTTGATGTCCTGTAGGAGTCTTTGTACTGCTGCATTTCACTTTTATTTCCTCATGTAAATTAAGAAAAACTCATTTGTCATTTGTTTTATCAGTTCCTACCTCTGAGTTCAGGAAGTGCCTTTTGTCTGTTCACATTTCAATTTAAAACAGTCGTATTTAAGCTTTCATGTGAGTAATCGACACATTATGTCAAACTTTGAGAGAAAAATCAGTTTTATTTGAGGTTTTATGGCATTGCTGTTAWTTCAACATTAATAGTTTTTTTAAAAGGGAAAGAGGACAGGATGTGTTGGAAATGATTTTTAATTTATTGTTTAAAATTTTGAAGGAGTTGTCAAGTTTTCAAAGCTTTCAATAAAAATTGAATTCCCCTGACTTTCTGGGTTTTATTCAGTTATTTGAAGCTTTACTTGGTTCATTCACAGTTTGCCATTTAAAATTTCTTCAAGCGGCTTAATTTTTTTGGACTTAAATCAACATTTTTAGAAATAAAACCCACCAAAAGTCCATAAAAATGGGCAAAATATCCTGAATCGCAAATGTTTTTCAAAAATTTCAGAATGTAATCATTGGGTTGACATTTATAATTTTGTTCCCAAAAGTTGAAAACAAAAAGGCCAATTTTTCACACACAGCTAAAAGTTAGTTTATTGGTACCTGAGAATGATACTCAGATTTATTAACAATCACCAAGTAATTTAAAGCATGATTTTAGTCTGTGGGAGGAAATAATCACCTTGAGAAAATGCAGGTGTGCAGAGGGAGATCATCTAAACTCCACCCAGAAAGGTCGTAGKTCAGGAGGCCTTGTCACTGAGAGGTGACCACTAACCACTGTGCCATCATGCCACCAGCTTCTATTCCCACAAGCTCTTAGTTGTGTTTCCACACCTTTTAATAACATTTATCTCCAGGTTGAACTGTGATCAGTACTAAACTCCGCACAAAAATTGAAGAAATTAGTTAGATGATTCCTTTTGATGCTTCTTGGCAGTAAATTTTAGGATTGGCAGCACCTGGAGGCACCAGAGCTCAAAACAAGTTAATAGCAACAGCAAAATAAACTGGCAGAGAAGATTTGGCTAAGTTTTCACGCACGCAACCCACACTCAGCTCTACTGCTCATCCCACAAATGCGTGTTCCTTACAAATGTGGCACCGTTTAAAAGGATTTAACCAGGGTTCCTGCAGATCCTTAAAAAGTCTTAAAAGTCATTGAATTCATCAATCCACAAATAAGGCCTTAATTAGCCTTAAAATGTCTTCAGTCTTTCAGAAGTCTTAAAAATGTTAACACATTGTAAATAGGATGATTGTAATTCATCTCAAATATTAAAATAATTGGTAAAAAATATTATTTTTAAATATTCACATGCTGACATTCCCCTTAGATATCACTTCCTGTTATTTCACATGCAAATATCTCAGCATTTGTTTTGTAATATGTTAATGTTGTCTTTCCAAAAATGCTTCACTTTTCTTACAAAAYCTTGATGTCACAGGCACTTTAAGATTTCAGCAAATTGGGGTTAAGACCCCACTGTGGGTCCTAAAATTCCAAATTTTGGGTTGTTAGAGGATTTCCTGATATTAAATTAAGTTTAAAACTGACTGCTAAGAATGTTTCTGCTATAATTAGATCTGGATAAAAACAATTAGCCTATTAGCAATATTTGAATACTTCAACCAAAAGTACTTTGAGTCATGAGTTTCTGCCATTTTTATTTTTTGTCATTTGTGTTCATAAAATTGGTCAAATTTAATTTCACTTGGCATTAAAAAGTCTTTAAAAGTCTTAAATTTAACTTGCTTTAAACTGTAGGAACCCTGTTAAYAGGCGTTCTAACAATATAAGATTTATTTCCAAGAAGCATCGTTACAACAAAGAAATAATCTGCCAAACATTTATTTATGATTATAGAGTCGAGTTGGAGGGTAAATGACACTTTCTGATGTTGGCTCAAGTATTTGACTCCATACTTGTGAAATTCAACAACAGGTTTTATTATTCAAATCGTAACTGCAACAGGCATGTATCAAAAAGGGTCAATACAGCAAAGCCTTTACAAAATCTGGCTCGACGATGAAGTCTTCCCAAAAAAATGGCTGTCGCGACAAATTGTAAACAGTTTCAACAGTCTTACAGCACTTACAGCAAAAATACATATCAGCTAAGGTAAGAAAAGCACCTGTTATCGTTCAAAACGTTCCAACACAAACACAATGTGTGCCACTGTACAGAATCAAAAACAGACAAAACCCTAACACAAAGAAATGGAATGTTCGAAATTCACTCGACTGGTTTGTTTCCATACAAAGAAAAAAAAAAAAAACAGCTGGAGTTGTTCCTCACCAAAGAAAATAAACCAAAAAGAAAAAAAAAGGCAAAAGGGATTGGACAGTGCATTCAAAGACGAGCACACCATGCACTTGATGGGAGCAGGAGTCAGTTTGGTCACTTAGCATAGTTTGTGCATAGTTGTAAGGCATCAGTCGAGCAGTCCGTTAGGTTTCATGTGGCTGTGAGAGACATTCTGCTTAGAGGGAGCCTTTCTGTTTTATCTGAGCAACTTCGCACCGTCTGCAGTCACCTCCTCTCCCTCTTCAAAAAAAAAAAAAATTTAAGAAAATCAAACAAAATAACTCTTGCAAAACCCTGAGCGAGTCGAGTTGCATGGAGTGAAGTTCCAGGTGAGACTGACCACTCTCCAGTCCGGGGACTGGATGATCCAGAAAAACTGATTTAAAGAGAGAGAAAAAAAAAACTAATTTCTACAATAATACCTTTTACAGGATGTAAGAGACGAAGCTGTGCGTCCAACATCGTCACTGTCATTTAGGAGTGCAGGAACACGTGGTAGCACAGGTGGAGTCATTTATGGCATCTGGTCTGTTTGAATAATCTGTGCTTTGAAGGCAAACCGTGGAGCCGACGGTCAAGGAAAAAAATTAAAAATAAAATACAACAAACAAGGTGATGCGTAAACAGTCTTTGTAGAGGCAGCAGAAAGACTGGGCTTGTCACATTTTTTTTTTTCTGTTTTTACATAAGGAAGAATCTTCAATACAAATCCAACACGTCATACTCAAAGGTCTCAGGAGGGTCCCGGGTTGAAATACTCCAGTTGTTTCAGTTCAGATCATTCTTCAAATCTTTGTTTTCAAATGGCACGTCAAAATACCAAAAGTCTTTTTTTTAGTTCAGTTTATACTGCTGTCCACTTTAGGTTCAACAAAAAAAAAAAAAAAGGAAGGAAGGAAGGGAAAAAATAGTGGCATTTTCAGTCAGTAATGCCAGAGTTACAGTCAAACAAATAAATAAAGCAAATAAAAGAAAATACAGCAGTAGCCAAATGAGGTATCTATGTATTGCTCTATGCCAAAAAAAGGAATTAAAAACTAAATAAATTAAATAAAATCAGTGGTTTATCAGAATGGGAGGCCAAAGCAACGAGACAAACACAAGGTGTTAGGATCAGGTGGGTCAGCGTCAGGGTGGCCCGTCAGAGTGTGGTGAGGCCCTGTAGCTGGTGGGGAGGGGGGAGTCAGGGTTCAGGAGGCCAAAGAGCGTACAAGGAGTGTCAGGATTCTCTGCTTCCCTGAGGTATTTCTTTGGAGCTGCTTTCTGTCGTTGCTGCTGCTGCTGAGGCTGCGGCGCCATCTGTGGCGGCTGCGCTGGGCTCCGCCTCCTCTGAGACCGGGCTTTGTTCCTGCTGCAGGCCGCCCCAGCTGGCTTTGTTCAGACCCATGTGGCCCAGCATAGTTTGGGACAGACGCGTGTCGGAGAAACGAGCCCACTCTGCGAACAGCGGCTCTGCCACGTAGGTCATAAAGCCTGGAGGTGACAGACATATATAAGCTTTAAAGGGATCCCTGATCAGTTGTAACATCAGACTTTATTTGATAAACATATATTTTAACTGTAAAATAAAGACTGTAAAACTACTGTAGCCTGTTCAGTTTTGTAAATTTTTAAAAATATATTTTAACATGGATGGAGCCATTTTATTTAYACACAAAGCATTCTGGGTAAATGATGACGTGGATAGGTCCTCGGTGTGAGCGAGCTATATCCACCCTGAAGGCTAATCTTGGACAATATCTGATGATCGACTCTTTTAAATGAAACCAGAGAGCGTTGACAGAGAGGAGAAGGTAGAAATGACTCAGCCTGTAACTGAAAATATGGATGGAGGACAACAGAGCTGCTTCATGGAAGAAGAACCTCAGCTTAGCCTGTTAGCTTTCGTGCTAGCACCGATGCTATATTGCCTTATATGTATTTGCTTGGCGCTAGCGCTTCAAACAAGCTAAATTGAGGTCCTCCATATTTTCAGTTGCAGGCTGAGTCATTTTTGTGTTCCCCTCTCTGTCATGTGGATGGAGGACCTCAGTGACGAGAGGAGAATGTGTAGCGCTGAGCTAATACATATATATGGTGATAGCATCGGGGCTAACGCTAAAGCTAACAGGCTAAGCTGAGGTTCTTCTTCCATGAAGCAGCTCTGTTGTCCTCCATCTATATTTTCAGTTACAGGCTGAGTCATTTCTACCTTCTCCTCTCTGTCAACGCTCTCTGGTTTCATTTAAAAGAGCCGATCGTCAGATATTGTCCAAGATTAACCTTCAGGGTGGATATAGCTCGCTAGCAGCCTTGCGATGACCTATCCATGTCATCATTTACCCAGAATGCTTTGTGTGTAAATAAAATGGCCCCGTCCGTGTAATGTATTTTTAAACTTTTAGTTTAAAAATTATAAAAACTGAACAACTTACGGTATTTTACAATCTTTATTTTACAGTTAAAATATATGTTTATCAAATAAAGTCCAATGTTACAACTAATCATGGATCCCTTTAATATTAGTGACAGACTATAAATAACAGCAAACATGGATCACAGCTGCCACACTTACCGATCTGAATGTTGCCGACAGTGTTTGCCWCTCGGTCACAAAGTGGGCTGACTTCAAGTTTGTGCTTCTTCTCGATGTCTCCTGCATCCGTTAAGCAAAATGTACTGAATTAATTTACTTTTGAACCAGAACACTATGACAGAACGACAGAAGAGCAAACAGATACCCTGCTGGAAGAACTCCGCTGTCACTTTCTCGCTCCACTGTTTGCTCAGCTCCCAGGGTCTGCAGGGATTACAGATGTCCGCACACTTCAGGGCCATCTGAGGGCACAGAAACGAAACAAGAACCCATCGTTTTTAGCTGACCAAACTGAGGTGATCTTAACAAAACAAAAAAATAAATAAATAAATAAAAAGACGGCGAGTAACTGACCTGCAGGACAAAGTGACGGTGGCTGGCGTTGCTCAAGCACAGGTTGTCCTGGTCTAGGTGTGTGCGAAATCTGGACAGGTAGTCGTTCTGTCTGCTGATGTCCGTGGCCAGGATTAAGGAGCCCAAATCCCTCTCCATGTTGAGACTGGCACATCAGGAAGAACATAAATTTTACAAGATGATTTATTTATTTGTTTATTTTGGCTTGAAAATCAGACTCATCAGTTAGAAGTTTCTCCAGAAAGCTACTGACCTGTCCTCTGTGGGTAAATGAGAGAACAGCCCGGTCTCTCGGAGGAGACCCACTGCAGACTTCCAGTGGTGGTTTTCCAGAACTGAGGTATTCTGTGAGGTAAAATAAGAACACTATATCAACACATAAWGCTAGTTTTTCTATTGAAAGTTAGGCAGGCTGCAGCATGGCTATTATGCTGTCTTACTCTGTAGAGTGATGCTAGATAGTGGTCAGTCTTAATGAGGAAAGGCTGGTTGACCCCGGGATGGTCCAGGTCATGTGTGGCTGCTGCTAGGAGTCCCAGTAGGATGTCATAGGATGTTARAGACTTTGCAAGCTGCATTCATAAAGGGAAACAAATATTACAAGAACTCATTAATATTGAAAATAGACTTTCTTTAAAAGCACCCGTGCTTCTACAAATGACTAAAGAAACTTGAGCCAAAACRAAGCCAAAAAGTCCTGTCAGTGTCTCACCATGGGCTCCTGCAGGAAGCAGAACATGGCTTGTGTGACGTCTGCAGCATGAACAGAGTTATGATATGGGTTGTCATTGTGGTAGTCCTCCTGAACCAGAACCAGAAACCTCCAGACTTTGACCATATCCAGCTGGAAGAGCTCCACCAAGCCATACTGGTTCAGCAGGTGGAAGGTCAGRGTGATCAGGCTGTTCCCTGAGCACAGAGGTTATCAATCAGTGATTAATTATATTACTTTTACTGTTACAGTCTATGTCTCTGCCTCTACCTCACTTATTCATCAGTTGTATTTGGAAATATTTTAGAAAATTCTGTTTACTTATCCCAGAGGCACATTGATTATTTTCAAGTCAGAAACCCAACATAATATCTGGAGGTTTGCAAACAATTAGCGACTATCAAAAGGAAATGTGTCTATACTATCTACTTAAATAAATATCAGAGCATTCACACCAAAACTAAACTTTTGTTAAATCTAAGATCTGTTTCAGTAAAGCTGTGATGATGATGATGTCCATTGGAAAGGAGGAACTGGTGTAACTTTGTACATGGTTGTCCAACAGATGGCACCAACACTTTAGATCTAAAGCAGAGGTGAAGCTTGATTTTGCAGTCAGAGCAGAACTTCTAGTTTTGTGACATAAAACATTACTTTAGATCACATTTTACTTACCATTTGTTAACTTATCGAATAGGAAAATGTCGAAATTCCAGTTTCCAACTTTCTCCAGCATGCACTACAAGAAGGGGGAAAGAAAATTAAAGTAGAAGTAAAAAAACACACTCCTGTAAATTGTATTAAAGTGTTATAATATGCAGGATGTGTGTCATACTCTAGCCTGTCCGCTGTAGTCTTCATCGAGGATGGGGAGGGGGATCTGCTGGGTGATTCCCCGCAGCAGGCGGGACGAGTGCAGGTATCTCTGGAAGCTGAGTAGTCTGTGAACCCTCCTTTCAGTACCAGAGCCGGCCGATGGGGAACCACAGCCCAGCCGTGCTGCGCAACACAAATATGTTTCAAAACATGCATCATGTACAATATGTTCTCGCTCTGGTTTTTTTTTTTTTCTTTCCCTCCTCCAGAAGCTCATTAGGCTTGGAGAATCGTTTGGCCAGGGACAAGCTCGGTGGGAATCTGACACCAACACAGCGATATCCAAACAGTCGCTGCTGACACAGCCGCCTACTCGTAAGCCTTTCGTCTGGGATCACACAGTAGACATGCTTTGTCAGTGGCCTCTCTTTCACATACACAAATACACACACACACACAGCTGCGAGGTCTCAGCTTTGGAAATACGTCAAGCAAAATCCAACTATTTTACTACTTTTAAAAGCTTCCATTCAGTAAAAAGTGATATTAGAGCCACATTTGTTTACAAGTGTTTGATCAAACGTTAAAGACACACACCACCTGTGAAGATGCAGAGGCACAAACATCTGGAAGTCATTCAGAACTGGAAGGGTGTCTTGTTATCGACCTAGCCCTCATCCAACTTTATCCCTTTAGGACCAGTTGCAACATTTTCCAATCTTATCCTTCTAACTAGATACACATTTTTCAAAGACATGTTCAATTTATTTTGCGACTGCTAAAATGCCAGGAGTAGAAGCATGGTTTTAAAGGAAAAAAACGCACGTTTGCACCTGGTGTGATTGATTTAAACTAGTAAGGACGGTGATCCAAACTCACCGTGAAGAGTTCGGAAGTCGATGCAAAGGTAAGGGTGGGAGCTTCTTCGTTCCGGTTCAAATCCAACCTGACTTCTTACTCTCACATCTCCTAGAAGAAATTAACACTTATTTCCTCAAGATTCATATGACGCAAAAAAAAAAGTGTTTTAATTATCTCAAATAAGCAATACTAAAATTTTATTTTATCATTTAGGTTACGCCTTTTTTTTTTTTTTTTTGCTTTTAAGTTCCATGAGGATAGGCTTCACCGAGGGGACAATGAACAGAGCAGGACAATGAGATGATAAAAGCAAATTAGGATTAAATTATCAACACAGCTAAACACTTAAATAAACTTTTGTTTGACAAAACTCAAACTGACAGGTTTTCTGCCAATATCCATTAAACTGAACAAGAGCTTTGGATCCTAATCTTATGAGTTCTGCTAATTTGTCAGCATTTTATTTTGAATCTCTTTGTTACAATGTTCCACATGGTTGTTTTTCACTGCAGCACCTTTAGTATGTTTGCTCCGTTTAAATAACAATGAGGAATTTTTTTCAAAAAGCAACACGTGTTTTTTATGATCAACTTTAAAGGGATCCCCGATCAGTTGTAACATTAGACTTTATTTGATAAACATATATTTTAAATGCAAAATAAAGACTGTAAAAATACTGTAGCCTGTTTAGTTTTGTAAATTTTTAAAAATATATATTTAACATGGACGGAGCCATTTAATTTATACACAAAGCATTCTGGGTAAATGATGACATGGATAGGTCCTCGGTGTGAACGAGCTATATCCACCCTGAAGGTTAATCTTGGAATCTTGGACAACATCTGATGATCGACTCTTTTAAATGAAACCAGAGAGCGTTGACAGAGAGGAGAAGGTAGAAATGACTCAGCCTGTAACTGAAAATATGGATGGAGGACAACAGAGCTGCTTCATGGACGAAGAACCTCAGCTTAGCCTGCTAGCCTTCGCACTAGCGCCGATGCTTTACTGCCTTATAAGTACTAGCTTGGCGGTAGCGCGACAAACAAACTAAACTGAGGTTCTCCATCCATATTTTCAGTTGCAGCTGAGTCATTTTTGTGTTCCCCTCTCTGTCATGTGGATGGAGGACCTCAGTGACGAGGAGAATGTGTAGCGCTGAGCTAATAAATATATATGGTGATAGCGTCGAGGCTAATGCTAAAGCTAACAGGCTAAGCTGAGGTTCTTCTTCCATGAAGCAGCTCTGTTGTCCTCCATCTATATTTTCAGTTACAGGTTGAGTCATTTCTACCTTCTCCTCTCTGTCAACGCTCTCTGGTTTCATTTAAAAGAGTCGATCATCAGATATTGTCCAAGATTAACCTTCAGGGTGGATATAGCTCGCTAGCAGCCTCGCACCGAGGACCTATCCACGTCATCATTTACCCAGAATGCTTTGTGTGTAAATAAAATGGTCCCGTCCGTGTAAAAGTTTAAAAATTATAAAAACTAAACAGCCTACAGTATTTTTACAGTCTTTATTTTACAGTTAAAATATGTGTTTATTAAATAAAGTCTAATGTTACAACTAATCGGGGATCCCTTTAAGATATACGTTTTTCTTTGTTTTGTAGAGATGCACCGATCACGTGGCCACTGACCAAAATCTGTCAGTTTTCACACCAGTTTGAACAATGGCACCTAAATAATGTTTTGTTTTCCCCACAGTCAATCAATAAACCACAGCTAGACAGCTAATAGTGTGGACAATTTTACAGAGTGAAAAAAAAACCTAGAAGTTAGTTATGTGAAATATTTGTAAGGTAAAAATAAATTTAGACGAAGCACAAGGTGTGGAAGAAACTACTAAAAAGAAACTGGATTTTTTTTTTAAGAAGGTCTGTCTGCTGCTCATTTTACTGCTCAGTTGGTTTCTTTTCAGCAAGGGCACTGTCATGTTTTGAGGTATGCCAAAAAAGAAAAATAAAATAAAAAAATTAAGAATATTGAAAGAGCTACAATCTGGTATACAAAAGGAATTTCCTCCATCTGATGCCATTTATTCGTAGTCAGGTAACAGAAGCAACAGGTCCAGGACAGAAACCCAGACGTCCCTCTCTAGCTCCTCCTGGGGGACTCCAAAGTGGTCCCAGGTCTGAGAGGATATACAATCCCTCCAACAAGTTCTGGGTCTGCCCTGAGGTCTCTTTCTATTGGGACATGTCCAGAAAAACACCTAAGGGAGGCGTCCTAATCATATAAGGCTGCCTAAAAGCTTTGATCAGTGCATCTCAAATTTTTTTGTAAAGAAATGTCAATAAATTTTGTTTCTGATAAATGAGACCCAAGTTTTCTTCCTTGTTAAATCTGTAGCTGATAGGAATGTACGGCACTTTGGAGTCTTGACAGAAAACCCTTCAAATATGTCACTTGAAATATCTTTTTGAAAGTGTGCCAATATGTCAAAACCCATCATGTTGGTACTTTCAGCAAAATATAAACAAGCAGAAGCTGTGATTTAAAAAAAGAAAAAGCCTGATTTGACCCAGGCTTTGTGTGTGCTATTCATGCGCAGGAACAGTCACACACAAACACACACTCCCATGTCCCAGAAGAGGAAACAGACAGAGAAGTGAACAGCTGAGCATGCAATGCCATGTCAGGACAGTCTGCTCTACTATTAGTACTCAGAGGCACTGAGAGTCATCTAGAGTCGATCTATGACTGTTTTTAGTAGTCAGGCAGAGGAGCGGGCTCCAGATTTGGACCCCATGGACGGCGGACGGCTTGCTCGTAGTCTGCAGTCAAGAGCAGTGAAAGTATAGTGAGGTGACAAGATGGTGCTGTGACATTTGTGCAACAAAATGCTAGTGTGTAGCTCCAGGCAAGACTGGATATGGAGGTATACTGATTAAGGTGCTGAACAGTGAAATGTTATGTTTTCAGCATTGCACTTCAAATCGTCCATATGCATCAAGAAAAGAGAGAAAAGTCACACGCATGTGCTCCCACAACCAGCATGTTACTTACTTGCAGACAGCTGTTTGAATACTACACAAGCTCCTATCAAAATACCAAAAACTAAGAATTACAATTCATGTCATACTGAGGCTCAACACTTTGTTGAAAAGGTTATTCTAATGTTTTAGACATAAAAAAGAGGGGAGTACAATAAACAAAAACAAAAAACGGTGCATGCATTTCTGAGCAGTGACTGTGCCGCCTGCATGTGTTTTTATCTGTCACATCTGCAGAGACGTGCGCAACATCTCACTGCGTGTGTGTGATTCGTGTGTTTCAGCGTGTCACGGGGTCCATGCCCCCCCATGGTGCATTAGTGCTGGTTCTCTGGAGGTAGATGTAGGTCACGTCGTTATAATTGATGTGGCGAAAGCTCTGAGTGCTGCTGTTTGAAAGCACATCAGCACTAAGTTGGCAGACTAAAGCCCAGCTCAGGCAAACACCGGTCTGCATTAGTGCGCCTCTACTCATCACACTCAATTTAATCTGAAAATCTACACACAGATGCTTCATGCCAATGACGTATGAAACTGCCATCATATTTAGCCAAAGCATATTTAGCCAAAGGAATGTGATTAAAGAGCTGCAGGTCCTTCAGTCTGCTCAATAAAACTCTAGTTTTTGTAACTAAACAGAGCTGCCGTTAAGACAGTATAATAAAATTTAATAATAGCAGTTATCTAAAACTCATAGTAATTAAACGATAAAAAAAGAAAAAACAAATCACAAAACAACATTTRCCTAATGCATAACATGACAAATTTTTAATTTATCAAACAGACAGACCTCAGGGTTATAAGCCCAGTCAAATCTATCCTCAACAACCTTATTGATTAGAAAGCCACAACTGTTCCGACCTCTTCCCAGCAGCATCTGACTCYATCAGACTGTCAGAGCTTTGAGCCCTTCACATCCTCTCATCCATTTTCTAAACTGCTTACTCTGGAGTCACTGAGGGCAAATGGATACCCACACACACATGCAGGACGTACACAAAGACACGTGTGGACACATGAAAACACGCCGGTCCTCATTCTGTTTTAGGACAAAAATAAAAACCTGTACATTCAACAAAATCTAAAAACACAAAAGACTAAAACATTACAGATACGCACATCTGTTGTTGCAGAAATAAGAAATAAGTTAATTTAAAGCATTTCTATTAGAGTGCCTTCCCCCAGTCCAATCCCCATCTCGCTGCTCTTTAAGCCTCAACAGAAATGGATAATTCCAATCTTTTAAAGTTGCGTCATGTGGAACGGTTATGAACAATTAATATCTTACCTGTTGCAGACAGTTGTTTGAATGACTTCAGTTTGGAGAAAAAGATTAGATTGACAAGTTAATGGGTAGTTCAAGACCAGATCAAAAGAGCCATCTGTAACAGCCAAGATTTTTTTTTGTTTATAACCTTTCCACAGAGCCCTACTTTTTAAAGATCTGAACTTTCTCTTTAAGAAATAGGCATGATCAAAGGAAAAATGAACTTTCTGCCTTCTGAAAGTATGTGCTTGTGTGTTGACTGTGCATGCGCAGTGAGAACAGGGAAACACTTACCTAGCATACGAATGTACAGAGCCGTCTGGTCGGAGCTGTCATAGGAGATGGCCCCCCGTCTCTGAAATGACACAGACAAGATCCACAGCTGGTAAAAGTGTACACAGATATGATGCTGTGATTATGTTGTGATGTTCTGCTACTGATTATCTGTCTTAAACTGATGTGTCTCGAAAACAGGCTTTATCTGTATAAATTCATGTTTACGCAATACTCGGTGCGTTCTGGGTGGTGCAAACGCTGCTACCGTTGGTTCTAATCTGTGTTCGTATATTGCTGCGAAATACTGATAAAACATGTTCCTGGCTTCATATCATCGACCTGATATAGCTCTGCTAATCAGTTATGTGAGAAACACAAACGCTATGAGGAAACAAACCCTCGTACAACTGCACCCATAAACACACACACACACACACACACACACACACACACACACACACACACACACACACACACACACANCACACACACACACACTTATATGAGAGGCTTCACCTGTGTGACCTGACTGACCCCAGCTGCTGCAGGAATGGATGCTTGTCGGAGAGCCGCCACGCACACACACACACCCACACACACACACACACACACACACACACACACACACACACACACTTTTATGTGAAAAGCAATTATAATGGCTGAACCCAATCTGACTCCACCCAGGAAGTTTTCTCTGTTATGTTTACTTCCCTTTAAAGCTCTGCCAAAAGGCGCAGTTGGAAACACAGAATGGTTTAAAAGGGGAGATCAAACGAGCCCAAACACTTCCCCTTTTTTCTGATGTCCTCGCATGAAAAGTCATTTGAATGCACTGAAATTCTGTCTAAATTGAATTCAGGCAAACTGACAACGGCCACAGATTCAACAGATATTGTCAGTGCAATTTTAAACAATAATATCAAGCGTTGCAAGTTTATCTAATTTTACGCAGCGCCAGATAATGTCAGTTGCAATAAAACCCAGTTTCCTCACTGCTCACTTTCTCTTCTGTCATCCTGTTGGTGTGGGAATCGAGGCTGGTGAGACTCCATTTGATATGAGCATGCAGAACATAACTGCATGGCACTTGAAGCATCATTTCCTGTGATTTACTGCAGCTCCAGCTGCATTTTTGCCTTACTGATGATGCACTTACTGGTATTGCGATTAGAAATGATCAATATATTGTATTATGCAACCAGTATGGGTAGAATATTTATGATTTTAGCGTAAAATTGGAAACCAAGCCTTGTGCTAAGTTACAACTAATGCTCTAATTATGCGCACATTTCGGACATGAGCTGATGCATAAGAAACACAAAACTCTTATTTTTATTTATTGGTTTAAACTTTTCCTAAATAAATTATGTCAGCAACTTGATACATGCACCAAAATTTTAAAAAAGGGTGCAATTTTACTCTCATAGCTTATCATCAAATTTTAACAACTGTTCTGATAAAACGGGATGAATTCTCAGCCAAATGATGTCATCTTGGTTTACTGGCCTTGGCCTTTACACGCCGAGATTTTCCAAGATTCCCTGAATTTTTTCGCAAGATTATACTCAAACTCCCTCAGCTCTTTAGAAATACGCATAGATTTTTTTTAATGATTGAACTTATTGATGGCTCTGATAATGTTTAAGCACAAAGACGAAAAACGAACCTAAAGTTTTCAAAGAAAGACTTCAGCCTGAAGAGAAAAACTAACTTTTGAAATATTGTCTGATAAAATATGCACATTTTCCCCTCCTTTTGTAYAGTTACAATAGGGGGGGAAAGGCATTTGGCTTCCTACAACTGAACCATGCATCTTTTCTAAAAACTTTTCTACAAGTCCACTTTAAGGGTTTCTAGTTTAAAGCTAGAAGGACAGTTTGTCATTCATTCTTTCTCGTTTCTAGGAGGGTTGTTGGTGATCCTACAACCAAGGTGAGTTATTACACCTTTATTGATTATATAAGATAAACATTTGAAAGGAAAACACAGACTGATATATAGAGGAAGAAGCAAACAAAATGCAGAACTACATCCAGTGCCAACTATATTCCTGAACAGCAGGAGTGTCACTCGCACAGTGGTATCTGTAGTGGGTTTGCTGTGGTAAAGGCATATTTGCTCTGCCGACAGCCAGCTGCTCAGGGCTACACTGAGGTGTTGGCTCACCTCACTTTGCACTCTACATACGCTGGCCCCACTCCAGGCCAACTCTTCACTCTCATTTCTGGGGCTTCCCTCATCTACAATTACTCATTCCACATAGAGCCTACATAACTGCTAGACTCATCCATTTAGTAGAAAAAATTTTTTTGAATGCTTTTGTTTTGCCGAGAATCAATCAAGACTTCACAAATGCTTTTGTGTGGGAAAAAAAAAAACAACAAAACCGGAGTACATCAGTGCCTTGATGAATCAATCTGTCCTCCTGGATCATTTAATGACAACCGTCTGGTCAAACCGCAAACAGACACATGCAAGGACACGTGTAGCCGCTCGTACACTCATTACTTCATATGATAAGGATTAGTGTGAATCTACCTCACACGCACACACACACACACATATACACATCTGACAGCGTCTGTCCTCGGAGATGATGACAGCCGCCAATCCAAAGCTAATATTTTACTAGGCAGCAAACAGCTTGACTCAGGGTGTACAAAGCCGTATTTTAGTGTCAACAGGACTCGGTGTTTGCACACCGAGCCGCTGGTTAAGTTGGAGCCTAACATATTGTGTTTGTATGCATGGGCTGCATGTGTCTTTGTGTGAGCAAGAAGAAGCATAGCTTGAAGTGGACACTGCCTAATGTTCGCTCGCCTAAAGCACCCGGGGAGAAGCTGGGAGGGTTAAGGGCTTTGCTCAAGGGCCCACGGGCGCATGAGGGTGGAGGCAAATGTGGGTGCTTCAGCTTCCCCATTCAATTTTTCTTGCCCCAGACAGGGGGTTCAAACTTCCCATTCACTGGCTTCTCTAACCTCTGCACCAACGCTCCCAGATTAATGAAATTATATGATTTGATTGATTATAATATTTTGTTAGTTATGTATAAAGCACACCGAAAGGCATTACCTTTAAATGTTCAGATAAATTTTATAAAGAGAGAAAGCTGTTATAATCTTAAGGGAATAGAGATGTTCATGAAACCTAAATTTAAAACATGTTTGAAAGAACGATGCACCTCAATTCAAGGAGTGAGTTGGAATAATTCAGAAGACAATGTTAAGTGCCACTGCAATATGCACATTTAAGAGAATGATAAAGACTGGACTGTTAAAAAAATATGAAATTGTTTGGTATGAAGACATTCACTTTGTTGTTCTAGAAAGTTTCAATGTTTTGTTTTGTTAATTGAAGATCCTTATAGTTTGAATCTATATTTGAGGAAAAAAAGGGCAGATATTATAAGATTTTTCTTCTCTCTGCCACCTTTCATTTCATTTTATTTGTATTTTCTTTTTTTATTGTACATAGAATTTTGTTTTATGAAATGAATAAAGTTTATAACTAGAACTAGAAAACCAGATTGAGGACTCAGAGGTGGTTGAGTTCACATAATTTTTAGACGTCGGAACATAACGTCCTGAGCTGCAATGAACAAAATGACCTAATGTGACTCCATGCAGTTATCTGGTTGTCTGGRTAAAAAGCAGTTTTGTCTTGATAAAAATTGATCCGTGGATCACTAGAACAATTTATAAGTTTATTTGCAAGTAGAGCAGGTGACAAAAATCTAATCTGCCAGGGCAGATTGTTGCCTGGCGTGAACCTTTGCACTTAAAACCCATCCACTTATGATTGGAACATTTGGGGCATATTTTAAGGTTCGGTCAGAATAGGCCTTTTTCTTAAACTCAGTGTTTTAGGTTTTTAGGCAAAAAATAAGACTTGCTGTTATTTTCTGTATTTAGTCAAAACAAAATCTTCTATAATGTGAGGAAACTTTAGAGCCTCAATGATAGAGCCTCCCTGAAAATTTTGCTCATGATAGTTGTCTCTGTTTCCTTTACTTCAAATTACTAAATAAAAATTTTTTGTGATGCTTTGCTATTTTTTATTATGGTATAACAGATGTTTTGCAACAAAACACTTAACAAAAAAAATGTATTTTGACCAACTACTTAACAGCAAACAACCTTCAATGGATTGAATTCGTAAGTGCAGCAAAATTTTACAATGAGTTATCTACAGGGACAGCTATCCGTTTTAGCTTATATCTGTACTCTTTGTAGATCAGAGTGTTTTCCCCGAGAATTTTAACTCTTCACCAAAACACATGGGTGGTTTTGTCCATATCACACTATTTTATCTGTGACGTTCACAGTTGTCTCATAGCAAAGGCATTCAGCTGAATGGAAATCTGCCAGTTGATCTCAGACTAGATGAGACACAAAAAACATCTAAGGTTTTTAAAAAGGGCTATGTGTTGACATTTTTTTTTATTAATTCAACACCTGTGTAGGTAATAAATGTCAAAACTAAAATGCCAAGTCTCAACTCAATAATCTGTAGTGCTTTGGAGTAAAAACACCTGAAAACTCCAAATGGAAAATGAAAGTTTGGATTTTATTTCTTTACATTTATAAGGCTAGACCTCTTAGCTGTATCTTCATATTTTTAAAGACAATCCCTTTTTTTCCCCAAACGCATCCATTTCTACCCCAAATATATAAACAAAGCACATTTGGCAATGTTTACAACAGATATTTAAGATTTTACTGATGAAAATTAAGAGTGAAAAAATGTACCATCAAAACTCACTTTCAGATCTACTTATCTAAATATTTTCACTTTGTTACTGTACACAGTTGTATTTCATTCAAGCACAGTCAAAGTCAGTCCTTCACAGTTGCAGTTTATGCCCACAAAAGCACATTTCTTTCTTTTTTAACTACATTGGAGTGTCTCTGTCCAACAGGGAAACTGCACTCCTTCTCTGCGGCAGTTTGCATTGGCAGGTCTGAAACCACGTCGTTCAAACTTTGTTTTTACATGTAAACGTTGAATTAAAAGGAGTGTATACAGCAAGTCGAGGCTAAAGATCAGAGTAGAGGCTTGCATAAATACATATAATTT